TAAGAAAGCCCTGTGACATTGTGTGGTTATTATAAGAAAGCCCTGTGACATTGTGTGGTTATAATAAGAAGGCCCTGTCCAGAATGTAGATGCTGAGGACTCTGAGAGCATGATAGAGATGTTACGATGCAGGCAAACTGTTGTGACAACTGCTCCCTCTCTTCGACCTTGACTCTTTACTCCATTTCTTCCTCCATGTCTTCTTCCACCTCTTCCTTGACCTCTCAAGTCTCTGGAGTTCAATTCAATATTATTTAATATCCACTGATGTAAAATATCACTGAAGTAATGCTTAACATTCTTCTCCATCTTACCATTGACTACGAGCTGGCAATACAAGTCTTCCCCCAGCACCACAATCCCAAGACAACTGCTCAGCGATCTTATGAAGGATGCCCATGTCTATATGCTTTCTGGGTATGTGTGATACTTTTTTCCTTTAATCCTTTGCCACGCATGTGTCGCTATTCCTAGAGAACACAAAACCGTCTCCGGCTAACAAACGAGGAACAGATGTTCCAGTTCAAATGAGTCAATTAACTTCCAATAGCACTTTAGCTTCGCTTCCCTCGCATGGCATTCTTTAACACACTCACCCATTAAGCTTAGCGAAACAGATGTTTCTCCAAATCTGGCCCGGCAAATGAAAAACAGACCTTTGGAGAAAAAGGAAGCTAATAGCAACTAATCAAATTATATAAAAAATAAATCTCAATGTATTTTTGCAGGTTTTTTGGGGCCTGGTGGATTGCATTATTATTTAATCGAGAGGTCATTCAGGTCTGGGGTTGAAAATGTTAAGTGTCTCGGCAGTCTTTATCCTGTAGACTATCAACAAAAGCACTGAATTGAAACACAGGGAGTGTTTTGTCTGCGGCGTGTGCCGTTTGGTCTACTGTGGCTTAGTGGTGTTGACCTTCACTATCTACAAAGCAGTTTCTACAAAGCAAGCAAGCGTTTTTATTAAATCGACTCTCTCTGTCTTTTCATCAGCCAATGGGTGTCATTATTGAAATATCAACGGATATTTCTATGCGATAAATTGGCTCTGTTAAATCCAGTTAAAATGGCTCCAGAACCATGTTATACAATCTTATACAGCGCATTACACGTACACCTCCGCAGGAGAAAAACAGTACTTTAATTTATTTACCGTCCATTGACATGGTAATTAGACACTCAACCAAATCTGCCGACATGGCTGTTTCTTTATTTAGAGGAAAGCTTCATCCTCAAGAGTAATTCTACCCCTTAGGATTCAAATCTAGCATCCATCCATCCACTTTTTTCTTATGTAGCTAACTAGCCTCCCTTATAAAAGTCATAAAAATTAATGCTCCCAAAAGGACAACAAACGATGTGAAAATCACGACGAAGATGACTTTAATTAATACAGTTTGATTTTATGTTTGCGCCTCGAACAGACTCAAACGAACAACCAAGTAGCGGTTGGCTGCAAAGCTCATTGACGCTCATTGTCACGCGTATCTTTTTGCAAAAGAGTCACAAAGTGACACATAAACTGATGCCTGGCTACAGATTAGGATCTGATTCCTTATATCATGCTACTCCACCACCGCTGCTCTTTGTATTCCAGTGATCATTGGCCAAACCTATCATAACCCCTCTGCATTTCTATCATGGGCCATTGTTGATGCTCTCTGCTACATTAATGAGTAATGGATTCATGGCCATTGCCTCATTAAGAGGCAGTAGCTGAGGTCGGGAGGAGAGGAGGATGAGGTGGAGGGGAGGAAAGGGAGAGATGGAGCGGAGGAGGGTGTGGAGCTTGGAATAATCCTAGCTCCCAACACTGATCCCTCTCGCAGAGTCAAGGATGTTGAGCGCTCATCTGGGCTAATGAAATGCAGAATACTAAAGAACCCGCGAGCGGCCCCCGGTACATAAACTCTGCACCCACAACAGAATCGGTTGCTGCTGTGCATGCAGGTCACATACTTACCTCGTATCCTCCATACTAAAATCCTCAACTTTTTTTCTCACAATTAAAAAATGCATGGCATATTTTAGCCTATCTTAAAAAAATAAAAAATAAAAAGTATTATAGACCCGACCAGAGCACCTTGCAGCTTTGTATAAAAAAACCACCTCTCCCACACTTCTATAAACAGATTCAGAAGCTGCTCTAGAACCAGGGTTAAAGCCACTGGGGAGAAAACTATGTGTATTCCGTGTGGCTTTGGCTTACCGTGAGAAGATCGTACCAGGCCTTTTCCCCAGACATAGACACATGCGCATGGACAGAGGGGGGATTTGGGGGGGGAGTGAGACGCAGGCTTGGGTTACATATCGCATCACGCCCTGGCTGCGCCAGCTAGCTACTGCTCAGAGCTCTGCATGGCACTGAGGGAGGGAGGGAGGGCAACAGGAAAGGCTACTGTAGCTGTAGAAACTTTAAGATTTCCAACTTTTCTGACTTGTTGAAAGCCTCTGTCTGTGTAGCAGAGGTGGTTTGCCGTGATGAGTAATCTCTCTTGGGATCTGCTTGAGATCTGATCCTCCCCGTAGCCAATGTTGTTGAGTCACACAGACTTGATTATAACTACACAGAATGCAATTGACACCTGCAAGGTCATTTAGGATTTTTTTGCAGTTTAATTCCGAAGTGGGTTTTCCAGTAAAGCGGGCCTGTTTTTGTTTATGATAATAGTGTATCTGATAAGGCCTTAATGCTATTAAAAACAAAAAAATATGTTTTAAGTGAAGTAAGAAGCTGAAAAATAAAGGAAATTCACATGAGCGCCACAATGCCTATTCCACCCATGCTCTACCAAGGTTTTCCAGCACACAGCTTTTACCTACTACATTTACATTTACATTTACGTACTACAGTAGCTATGTTGATATTGTACTTAAAAACTATTTGTAGGCAGGTTGCTTAGGATTCAAACATTCTCAAACAGTCCCCACAATAATCTCAGATTTGGTATTTGTTTTTAAATTGTGGGCGAACCGACAATCTGGTATGTCTAATTAGTTTAGAGGCTTTTCTGCTTGGTTGCTTTTATGCCAATAAACTCTGATACACTGATACATGTTGGCCAGGTCTTCTCCAGGTTTTAGCGGTCAACACTACTGGTAATCGATACCAAGACAGGTACCACAGTATATTCATACTGGCAGAGCATGAAAAGAGCTAATGTGTTGTTCTAGTTTTAAAGCCATCTCAAACCTAAGAATAGAGGATCTGCTTGGCTAGATGGGCAAAACTAATTTATTCTCTGCTGTTTTCTCTATCGATAAAAACCAAAGTTGCACTCTTTTCATAGAATTTAAATACAGAAATATAATCTTTGAATACGACCTGGATGAAGGCCAAAGGGGGATTAAGTACATAGTCGTCAGGGAGACAGTTGGTGTAGGCGGTGGGATCTGGAACGGGGGGTGGTGGGGAGGGGAGTGTTGGTGAAGCTTGTGGCAATGTCCGCTACGGTAATGAGCGAGTCCGCCGCTGGAGAGAGCCCTTCTTGGCGGGCACATTCACGGCCGACTGGCGGTCGCAATTAAAGGCGAGGAGGAGGTGTAGCAACGCAATCAGCCACCTCGCCAGTCTCTCCGAATGTAAATAAAAACGAGCCCAGTCAAATTACCGTCGCCGGCAGCTCGCCCGTTAAACCTGTCTCCGTAATGAGGGAACTGTGACATTTCAGCGTGCCACCAAGCCCTTCCCGGTCTCACCCGGCGAAGCAACAAGCATCAGCCGCTGGTGTGTCTCTTGCCGAGACATTCTAATTAGGGCTGAGGACTGTTCGATGACGTTGCTGGGAGGACCGGGACGTGTGGCAGAGAGAAAGAGAGAGAGAAATAGAGGGAGAGAGATGGCTGCTGGTTGCTATCAGACATTTTTCTGTTCCTTCATCTCCCAGTGCCCCTCCCTCAGCCTCCCTCCTGTCTTTTATTTTCCTTACTTCCGTTTTCTCTGCCTTCCTCAGCTCTTCTGCTTTTTCCTTTACCTTTGGCTACCTCCTTCCCCTTTTTCCTTTACCTTTGGCTACCTCCTTCCCCTTTTTCCTTTACCTTTGGCTACCTCCTTCCCCTTTTTCCTTTACCTTTGGCTACCTCCTTCCCCTTTTTCCCCTCTTCTCTCTTCCCCTTCTCTCTTTCCTCTTCACCCCTTCCTCTCTCTAGCCCCTATACCTCTATGATCTCCCCTCTCTCTTTCTCCTCTCTCTCTTTCACTCGGTCACCATCAGGGCCAGAGGAGGAGATGGAGAGTAGGGCTCCTGTTCTGTATCCTGGACGAGCCCGTCTCCTAAAGGAGATTCACTGAATGCTTGTTGCTGGCCACGTACGCACACACACATCATCATCATCATCATCAGTAGCGATCACTCGAGTCGAGAATTATTATCCTCCATGGGGTCTTCTATTTGTGGGTCTTCAGATGGCTGTAGATGCTGATCCGGTAGCCACATATTTTGGTGCAAGGGTGAGTGGTGGTTGGTGGTTGGGCCTTCCTGGTGTTGAGTCTCTCCATGCGTAGCTGCTGCTTGTCCTCTGAGGCACAGTGGATATCTATTTCCTGTAGTGCAGCTCCCTCTTGGATGTTGTTTCTCCACACACACACCACACCACACACCACACACAGCTGCTGTCAGATGAATGACTCGGTGAGTGAGAACCAGACAGTGAAGAGGAACCACTGAAGAGGAGAGGACACACCACTGCTCACTGTTCAGGCCTCCCTCCCTTCTCTTTCACTCTTAGATATAACTGTCTTGATGACAGCTACTTCCCCTATTGTTCACATTCCTTTCCATGGCGTGGGATGGGACCAGGGAGATGTACAAGGGATGACAAAAAGTGAAATATAACCTAACAATGATGATAGGAAGCATTTTATTTACCAATGACAAAGGAAAAGCGATATAAGGATGTTTGAGGAAGGCTTTATAAATTCATTCATAATGCATTAGACACTGCAGTTCATAGAGATTGTTACCCTGAAATTCTCAACTCTGTGTTTCTTTTCTTCCAGCTATCTGCCCTGGTTTGAGGTATTCTACAAGCTGCTCAATATCCTCGCTGACTACACAATCAAAGGCCAGGTCAGTATTCTCAATTAAATCAAAATAATAGTGGTCATTGTAGCTAGGGTGAACCTTGTTATCTAGGTAGGTCACAACTGATGATGTAAAAAGGGCTTTATAGAATACAATACATTTGATTGAGGTAGGTAGAGAGGAGATTCAGAAACTCCTGAAGGACAGTGGAAGTTAATTCAAAATCTCACTCACTCACTCACTCACTCACTCACTCACTCACTCACTCACTCACTCACTCACTCACTCACTCACTCACTCACTCACTCACTCACTCACTCACTCACTCACTCACTCACTCACTCACTCACTCACTCACTCACTCACTCACTCACTCACTCACTCACTCACTCACTCACTCACTCACTCACTCTCTATCTGTCTCCCTCTCCCTGCCCCCTGTCTCCCCCCTCCCTCCCTCCCCCTCTCTCCCTCCCTCCCCCTCTCTCTCCCTCTCTCTCCCTCTCTCTTTCTGTCTGGGGACAGCTTTTCTCTCACCTTTTCTCTCAAAAGAAAAGAGATGTCAGTGACAGGAGTGACATTCAACTCCTCTCGTTTTCCCTTCAACTCTTTCTGCTGACTGTGTAATACTAAAAATATTAACAAACACATCACTCTCTGCACACGTAGGTGATACTGAAAACCAAACAACTTAAAAGCGCATTGTCCAAAAGAGACTTGAATAAAGCATTATAGGACTAAAATCAAGTTGAGCTTAATCGACAGGCAGTCAGGCATTTTAAGTAATATATTCAGAGCACTTTGGCGAACATCTGTTCAAGCCTCTCAGCTCTACATGCTTGTTGTTTATGGTTCTCAGACAAAGCCCTATACCTGGGATATAGCAGACAGCCCTATACCTGGGATATAGCAGACAGCCCTATACCTGGGATATAGCAGACAAATCCCTATACCTGGGAGATAGCAGACAGCCCTATACCTGGGAGATAGCAGACAAATCCCTATACCTGGGAGATAGCAGACAGCCCTATACCTGGGAGATAGCAGACAGCCCTATAGCTGGGAGATAGCAGGCAGCCCTATAGCTGGGAGATAGCAGGCAGCCCTATAGCTGGGAGATAGCAGGCAGCCCTATACCTGGGAGATAGCAGACACCACTATACCTGGGAGATAGCAGACAAAGCCCTATACCTGGGAGATAGCAGACAGCCCTATACCTGGGAGATAGCGAACAGAGAGTATACTGGCAGCCATTACCAGGATAAAGATATGTTTTGTTGTCAAAGTACAATGTACTGGGAGTGCTTTGGAGTCTGTAGGCTATTGGTTATTTCCTACACCCCTAAAAAAGAGCCTACCCATTAGCCAATAAAGTCGCATACGCAGGATTTGTAGTACACAGAGTGACTATGACAAACAAGCCGACCATCTGGATGAGCGTTTCAGACAGCGGGGTTACCCAGAGGAATGGCTGCATGACGCAAGGGAACGTTATATAAATATGACCCAGGATGACAGCCTCATGACCAAACCTCCCCGCCCTCCTGACCAACGCGTTCAATTCTTCCTTCAGTACTCCCCACTTGGTAAACGGTTCGATCACATCATTAAAAACACTGGTACATCTTGAGCACTGATCCACAACTAGAAAATACGTTTAAAGAACCCCGGTGGGTGGTCTTCAGACGCGCCCCCAACATCAGTCAAATGGTGGTGAGGTCCGATCTTCCACCAGTGCCACGCAGTACCTTTCTAGACAATGTTCCGGACGGTAACTATAGATGTGGCGAATGTACCCAGTGTAACTTCACGAACAAATGTACAATGTTCAATCACCCTATTACGGGAAATGCCATTAAGATTAAGGGCATCATTACATGTTCCACAAGAAATGTGATATACCTGATCAAGTGTATTTGTGGTCTATGCTAGGTAAAACAAAACGAGCTCTGAAAACAAGGATAGCAGAACACAGGAGTAATATCAGGACCCTTGACCAGAGAAACCCTGTGGCTGAGCATTTCATGGAGGCTCGTCACAACATTAGCTCTATGAGATACATTGGCATCGAACATGTTAAGACTCCCAGAAGGGGTGGATATACTGATAATCTATTATTGAGAAGAGAATTGTATTGGATTCACTGTTTGTGTACCATGTCTACTAGAGGTCTGAACCAAGAGTTTGATATCAGACCATTTCTTACATGAATGTCACTTTAATTTGATTTGTCTTGCCTTCCAGGTTACCCACTTGGTCATTTTGTAAATATATATTATTTTCTAGAACCACTACATGTACCCATCTCATTGTTATTAAATTATTAGAGATACACAAATGTTTTTTTGCACCCACCATGCGTCATGTCCGCAATGGTCATGTGAGGTGAAATTTGTATATTTTGGGATGTGAGCACTCAGTTTGTTTGACATGATGAAGATCCGTTTCGGACCGAGATGTTTCAATAAAGCGGTGAATTGGGAGCTTTAACAGTGTGCGGGCCTTCTTGTTCTGTACTATTCTTTAATAGCCCAGCACCTACACTACCGTTCAAAAGTTTGGGGTCACTTAGAAATGTCCTTGTTTTCGAAAGAAAATATATTTGTTGTCCATTAAAATAACATCAAATTGATCATAAATACAGTGTAGACATTGTTAATGTTGTAAATGGCTATTGTAGCTGGATTTTTAATGGAATATCTACATAGGCGTACAGAGGCCCATTATCAGCAACCATCAGTCCTGTGTTGCAATGGCACGTTGTGTTTGTTAATCCAAGTTTATCATTTTAAAATGCTAATTGACCATTAGAAAACCCTTTTGCAATTATGTTAGCACAGCTGAAAACTGTTGTGCTGATTAAAGAAGCAATATAAAACTGGCCTTCTTGAGACTAGTTGAGTATTTATTTTTATTTTATTTTACCTTTATTTAACTAGGCAAGTCAGTTAAGAACAAATTCTTATTTACAATGACGGCCTACACCAGCCAAACCCGGACGACCCTGGGCCAATTGTGCGCCGCCCTATGGGACTCCCAATCACCGCCGGTTGTGATACAGCCTGGAATCGAACCAGGGGGTCTGAGATGCAGTGCCTTAGACCGCTGCTCCACTCGGGAGCTCATTAGATGGAGTATCTGGAGCATCAGCAATTGTGGGTTCGATTACAGGATCAAAATGGACAGAAACAAATAACTTTCTTCTGAAACTCGTCATTCTATTCTTGTTCTGAGAAATGAAGGCTATTCCATGCGAGAAATTGCCAAGAAACTGAAGATCTCGTACAAACTGGCTCTAACCAGAATAGAAAGAGGAGTGGGAGGCACCGGTGCACAACTGAGCAAGAGGACAAATACATTAGAGTGTCTAGTTTCAGAAACAGACGCCTCTCAGGTCCTCAACTGGCAGATTCATTAAATAGTACCCGCAAAACACCAGTCTCAACGTCAACAGTGAGGAGGCGACTCCGGGATGCTGACCTTCTAGGCAGAGTTGCAAAGAAAAAGTCCAGTGTCTGTGTTTTTTTGCCCATCTTAATCTTTTCTTTTTATTGGCCAGTCTGGCCATGGCTTTTTCTTTGCAACTCTGCCTAGAAGGTCAGCATCCCGGATTCACCTCTTCACCGTTGACGTTGAGACTGGTGTTTTGCGGGTACTAATTAATGAAGCTGCCAGTTGAGGACCTGTGAGGCGTCTGTTTCTCAAACTAGACACTCTAATGTATTTGTCCTCTTGCTCAGTTGTGCACCGGGGCCTCCCACTCCTCTTTCTATTCTGGTTAGAGCCAGTTTGCGCTGTTCTGTGAAGGGAGTAGTACACAGCGTTGTACGAGATCTTCAGTTTCTTGGCAATTTCTTGCATGGAATAGCCTTCATTTCTCAGAACAAGAATAGAAGGACGAGTTTCAGAAGAAAGTTATTTGTTTCTGTCCATTTTGAGCCTGTAATCGAACCCACAATTGCTGATGCTCCAGATACTCAACTAGTCTCAAGAAGGCCAGTTTTATTGCTTCTTTAATCAGCACAACAGTTTTCAGCTGTGCTAACATAATTGCAAAAGGGTTTTCTAATGATCAATTAGCCTTTTAAAATGATCAACTTGGATTAGCAAACACAACGTGCCATTGGAACACAGGACTGATGGTTGCTGATAATGGGCCTCTGTACGCCTATGTAGATATTCCATAAAAAATCAGCCGTTTCCAGCTACAATAGCCATTTACAACTAACAATGTCTACACTGTATTTCTGATCAATTTGATGTTATTTTAATGGACAAAAAACAAGGACATTTCTAAGTGACCCCAAACTTTTGAACGGTAGTGTATGTTTTTAAGGATGTGCGTATGACCACAAACTTTTCTTTCCTCAGAGATGCCATAATTTAAGGAGGGGATATTGTTAGCTATTTTGCTCGCATAAACATTTTGTTCCAGTTGCTATTGATACTAGGGTTCTTGTGGGGCATTGTGTGAGATTGTACGTGTCTGTTTGTGTGTGTGTTTCAGGAGAGTCAGTGGCGAGAGCTCCTGGAGTCACTCCACACACTCCCCATCCCTGATCCTGGAGTGCCAGTCCATCTTAGCGTGGTAAGACTTTGACCACCTCCCCGTAGACTTCATGGCTGGCCACCTTATCAGAGGAGCAACACATTCAAATCTTCAATCACTAGTTGCCCATTATGCTTAAAATTCATGGCACATTAGCAAGGTTGCAGATAGCAGAATTAGCAAACATCATCACACTTCAGGGCCCTTCACTTGATACAAGCAAGGCGCCAAGAGCCGTAGGGTCAGGCGCGGCAGTGGATGAAAGTTCAAGTTATTTGAACTTTGAGTGCTGTGGCAATGTCCCAAAAGCACTGCCGAAAAACAATGACTCTTGATGCAATACCATTCTTGCACCTGTCAGTTGAAACCCCCTTTAGATATCTACATTTATCACACAGTACATACGTCTATAGTATGTTTTTGTTGTTGTTACAGAATACATAAATGTAAATGTATCCCATCTCATGGCCATAGCACTTGGGTCAGCGAGGTACAGCCTTATCCTCTATAGTGTGTGCTTTGAGATACGCTTCGGTTCTTATCATTCATAGAGGATGCTTTGGTTCTTGCTGACTGTTTTTGGGTCAGTTGTGGGTTCAATGGGGGGAGCATCAAGGCTGCCACCCCTGCGGAGTGGGGGAGAGGGGCACCACTTCCTCGAACCTCAAAGGCTTATCCCTCAGCTGTGCTGCATGATGGGTTACAACACAGGCCGTTCTGTTTGAAGGATTTTTAGGAATGCTTCAGAGCTCCGTGTTAGGACGCCATCTCAAAGCGTTTCACGGGCAATGGAGTGAGTCAGAGTTACACCCAAAAACACAGGCAGCCTCCGAGGAGACGGTTCTGTCAGAGTGAGCTTGGCGTCGGACGCAGGAATATAGAGGAAGTAGTGAGTGCATCACTTTGTTCGCTAGTCTTCCCCCACCCCCAGTAAATGAGCTGGGTTTATTATCATACCGTCAGTCTTCAGACACTGTTTCCATGAGATATCTGTGAGACACACCTCACTATCCTTACCCTGCAAAGCGACAATACATGACTAAGATCAAATCCTACTACACCGACTCTGAGACTTGTCAAATGTGGCAGGGTTTGCAAACTATCACGGATTACAAAGGTAAACCCAACTGCGAGCTGCTCAGTGACACGAGCCTACCAGACGAGCTAAATGCCTTCTATGCTCGCTTCGAGGCAAGCAACACTGAACCATGCGTGAGAACACCAGCTGTTCCGGACGACTGTGTGATCACGCTCTTCGTAGCCGATGACTATCGCGACGACTATCGCCCCTTAGCACTCACATCTGTAGCCATGAAATTCTTTGAAAGGCTCACATCGACACCCTGGACCCACTCCAATTCGCATACCGCTCCAACAGATCTACAGATGACGCAATCTCAATTGTACTCCACACTGCCCTTTCCCACCTAGACAAAAGGTGACTACAGCTCACTAAGCTAAGGACCCTGGGACTGAACACCTCCCTCTGCAACTGGATCCTGGACTTCCTGACGGGACGCCCTCACATCCACCACGCTTACCCTGAAACCGGGGTCCTCAGGGGTGCGTGCTTAGTCCCCTCCTGTCCTCCCTGTTCACCCACAATTGTGTGGCCGCACACTACTTCAACACCGTCATTAAGTTTGCCTACGACACGATGGTGGTAGGCCTGATCACTGACGACGATGAGACAGCCTATAGGGAAGAGGTCAGAGACCTGGCAGTGTGGTGCCAGGATAACAACCTGTCCCTCAACGTCAGCAAGACAAAGAGCTGATCCTGGACTACAGTAAACGGAGGGCAGAGCACGCCCCCATTCACATTAACAGAGCTGAAGTGGAGTGGGTCGAGAGCTTCAAGAAACCTTGGTGTCCACATCACTAAGGATCTATCGTGGTCCAAACATACCAACACAGTCGTGAAGACGGCATGAGAACACCTCTTCCCCCTCAGGAGGCTGAAAAGATTTGGCATGGGCCCTCGGATCCTCAAAAAGTTATACATCTGCACCATTGAGAGCATCTTGACTGGCTGCATCACCACTTGGTATGGGAACTGTTGGCATCCGACCCAAAGGTGCTACAGAGGGTATTGCGTGTGGCCCAGTACATCACCTGGGCCGAGCTCACTGCCATCCAGGACCTCTATACCAGGCAGTGTCAGAGGAAGGCCTTAAAAATTGTCAAAGACTCCAGCCACTCAAGTCATAGACTGTTCTCTCTGCTACCACACGGCAAGCAGTACCGATGTACCAGGTCTGGAACCAACAGGACCCTGAACAGCTTCTAACCCCAAGCCATAAGACTGCTAAATAGTTAGTTATATAGTTAACCAAATAGTTACCCGTTCTAACTGCATTGACCCTTTTTGCACTCACTTTTTCGAGTCATGCTATAACTGCTGCTACTGTTTACTATCTGTCACTTTATTCCTAGTCATATGTACATACATTACATGACATTGCTGCGGGGACTTGCTTCCACAAGAGCATTAGTGAGGTCTGGTACGCAGTAGGCGTTCCAATTCATCTCAAAGGTGTTGGATGGAGTTGAGGTCAGCGCTCTGTGCAGGCCAGTCAGGTTCTTCCAAACCGATCTCTACAAACCATTTCTATATGGACCTTGCGTTGTGCACGGGGGCATTGTCATGCTGAAACAGGAAAGGGCCTTCCCCAAACTGTTGCCACAAAGTTGGAAGCACAGAATCGTCTAGAATGTCATTGTATGCTGTAGCGTTAAGATTTCCCTTCACTGGCACTAAGGGGCTTAGCCCGAACCATGAAAAACACTCCCAGACCATTATTTTTCCTCCACCAAACTTTACAATTGGCACTATGCATTCGGGCAGGTAGCGTTCTCCTGGCGTCTGCCAAACCCAGATTCGTCCGTCGGACTGCCAGATGGTGAAGCGTGATTCATCACTCCAGAGAACGCATTTCCACAGTCCTATGGCGGCGAGCTGTACACCACTCCAGCCGACGCTTGGCATTGCATGGGTGATCTTAGGCTTGTGTGCGGCTGCTTGGCCATGGAAACCCATTTCATGAAGCTCTCATTGAACAGTTCTTGTGCTGACTTTGCTTCCAGAGGCAGTTTGGAACTCAGTAGTGAGTGTTGCAACCAAAGACAGACGATTTTTACGCGTCACGCACTTCAGCACTCGGCGGTCCCGTTCTGTGAGCTTGTGTGGCCTACCACTTCGCGGCTGAGCCGTTGTTGCTCCTAGACGTTTCCACATCACAATAACAGCACTTACATTTGACCGGGGCAGTTCTAGCAGGGCAGACATTTTACGAACTGACTTGTTGGAAAGGTGGCATCCACATTGAAAGTCACTGAGCTCTTCAGTAAGGCCATTTTGCTGCCAATGTTTGTTTATGGAGATTGCATGGCTGTGTGCTCGATTTTATGCACCTGTCAGCAACGTGTTTCTTTTTTTTTCTTTTTTTTTGGGGGGGGTAGATCAGCTTTAATATTGCAGATAGATTGTAACTTCCATCAATGTAATTGTCTGCATCACTTCCAATCCCCCATGTTGTTTTTTCTCGCAAATATATATATACACATACATACATACAAACATACATACACATACATACATACATACACATACATATACAGTTGAAGTCGGAAGTTTACATACACCTTAGCCAAATACATTTAAACTCAGTTTTTCACAATTCCTAACATTTAATCCTAGTAACAATTCCCTTTCTTAGGTCAGTTAGGATCACCACTTTATTTTAAGAATGTGAAATGTCAGAATAATAGTAGAGAGAATTATTTATTTCAGCTTTTATTTCTTTCACCACATTCCCAGTGGGTCAGAAGTTTACATACACTCAATTAGTATTTGGTAGCATTGCCTTTAAATTGTTTTACTTGGGTCAAACGTTTCGGGTAGCCTTCCACAAGCTTCCCACAATAAGTTGGGTGAATTTTGGCCCATTCCTCCAGACAGAGCGGGTGTAACTGAGTCAGGTTTGTAGGCCTCCTTGCTCGCACACGCCTTTTCAGTTCTGCCCACACATTTTCTATAGGATTGAGGTCAGGGCTTTGTGATGGCCACTCCAATACCTTGACTTTGTTGTCCTTAAGCCATTTTTCCACAACTTTGGAAGTATGCTTGGGGTCATTGTCCATTTTGGAAGACCCATTTGCGACCAAGCTTTAACTTCCTGACTGATGTCTTGAGATGTTGCTTCAATATATCCACATAATTTTCCTTCCTCATGATGCTATTTTGTGAAGTGCACCAGTCCCTCCTGCAGCAAAGCACCCCCACAGCACGGGCCCCGTGTAGCTCAGTTGGTAGAGCATGGCGCTTGCAACACCAGGGTTGTGGGTTTGATTCCCACGGGGGGCCAGTATGAAAAATATGAAATATATGAAAAAATAAAAATGATGCACTCGCTTAACTGTAAGTCGCTCTGGATAAGAGCGTCTGCTAAATGACTAAAATGTTAAATGTAAATGATGCTGCCACCCCCGTGCTTCACGGTTGGGATGGTGTTCTTCGGCTTGCAAGTACCCCCTTTTTCCTCCAAACATAACGATGGTCATTATGGGCAAACAGTTATATTTCTGTTTCATCAGACCAGAGGACATTTCTCCAAAAAGTACGATCTTTGTCCCCATGTGCAGTTGCAAACCGTAGTCTGGCTTTTTTATGGCGGTTTTGGAGCAGTGGCTTCTTCCTTGTTGAGCGGCCTTTCAGGTTATGTCGATATAGGATTCGTTTTACTGTGGATATAGATACTTTTGTACCCGTTTCCTCCAGCATCTTCACAAGGTCCTTTGCTGTTGTTCTGGGATAGATTTTCGCACCAAAGTATGTGCATCTCTAGGAGACAGAACGCGTCTCCTTCTTGAGCGGTATGATGGCTGCGTGTTCCCATGGTGTTTATACTTGCGTACTATTGTTTGTACAGATGAATGTGGTACCTTCAGGCATTTGGAAATTGCTCCCAAGGATGAACCAGACTTGTAGAGGTCTACAATTTTTTTTCTGAGGTCTTGGCTGATTTCATTTGATTTTCCCATAATGTCAAGCAAAAAGGCACTGAGTTTGAAGGTAGGCCTTGAAATACATCCACAGGTACACCTCCAATTGACTCAAATGATGTCAATTAGCCTATAAGAAGGTTCTAAAGCCAATTTTCTGGAATTTTCCAAGCTGTTTAAAGGCGCAGTCAACTTAGTGTATGTCAACTTCTGACCCACTGGAATTGTGATACAGTGAATTATAAGTGAAATAATCTGTCTGTAAACAATTGTTGGAAAAATTACTTGTGTCATGCACAAAGTAGATGTCCTAACCGACTTGCCAAAACTATAGTTTGTTAACAAGAAATATGTGGAGTGGTTGAAAAACGAGTTTTAATGACTCCAACCTAAGTGTATGTAAACTTCCGACTTCAACTGTACATACCCTCAACCTCTCCGATCATTTTCATGATGTCCATCCGGTTTGCTTCTATATGCCATATCTTTCTAACTGTGCTGTTTCACAAAAGCTCTCAACCTATAACCTATATACTTATTATGGACACAGTATGCTTACATTATTAGTTATCTTGTTGTTGTTAGTTGTTATTAGTCCCATCCTTCAACTCCATTCAACACCAACGTGTGTTGCTGAAATAGCCGAATCCACTAATTTGAAGGGGTGTCCACATACTTTCGTGTATATAGTGTATCTACCTCAATTATCTCGGACCCCTGCACATCGACTCAGTACTGGTACCCTGTGTATATAGCCAAGTTATCATTACTCATTGTGTATTTATTATTACTCGTACAGTCGTGGTCAAAGGTTTTGAGAATGACACAAGTATTGGTCTTCACAAAGTTTGCTGCTTCAGTGTTATGAGATATTTCTGTCAGATGTTACTATGGTATACTGAAGTATAATTACAAGCATTCCATAAGTGTCAAAGGCTTTTATTGACAATTACATTAAGTTTATGCAAAGAGTCAATATTTGCAGTGTTGACCCTTCTTTTTCAAGACCTCTGCAATACGCCCTGGCATGCTGTCAATTAACTTCTGGGCCACATCCTGACTGATGGCAACCCATTCTTGCATAATCAATGCTTGGAGTTTGTCAGAATTTGTGGGTTTTTGTTTGTCCACCCGCCTCTTGAGGATTGACCACAAGTTCTCAATGGGATTAAGGTCTGGGGAGTTTCCTGGCCATGGACCCAAAATGTCGATGTTTTGTTCCCCGAGCCACTTAGTTATCACTTTTGCCTTATGGCAAGGTGCTCCATCATGCTGGAAAAGGCATTGTTCGTCACCAAACTGTTCTTGGATGATTGGGAGAAGTTGCTCTCGGAGGATGTGTTGTACCATTCTTCATTCATGGCTGTGTTCTTAGGCAAAATTGTGAGTGAGCCCACTCCCTTGGCTGAGAAGCAACCCCACACGTGAATGGTCTCAGGACGCTTTACTGTTGGCATGACACAGGACTGATGGTAGCGCTCACCTTGTCTTCTCCGGACAAGGTGTTTTCCGGATGCCCCAAACAATCGGAAAGGGGATTCATCAGAGAATATGACTTTACCCCAGTCCTCGGCAGTCCAATCCCTGTATCTTTTGCAGAATATCAGTCTGTCCCTGATGTTTTTCCTGGAGAGAAGTGGTTTCTTTGCTGCCCTTCTTGACACCAGGCCATCCTTCAAAAGTCTTCGCCTCACTGTGCGTGCAGATGCACTCACACCTGCCTGCTGCCATTCCTGAGCTAGCTCTGCACTGGTGGTGCCCCGATCCCGCATCTGAATGAAGTTTAGGAGACGGTCCTGGCGCTTGCTGGACTTTCGTGGGCGCCCTGACGCCTTCTTCACAGCAATTGAACCTCTCTCCTTGAAGTTCTTGATGATCCGATAAATGGTTGACTTAGGTGCAATCTTACTAGCAGCAATATCCTTGCCTGTGAAGCCCTTTTTGTGCAAAGTAATGATGACGGCACATGTTTCCTTGCAGGTAACCATGGTTAACAGAGGAAGAACAATGATTTCAAGCACCACCCACCTTTTAAAGCTTCCAGTCTGTTATTCTAACTCCATCAGCATGACAGAGTGATCTCCAGCCTTGTCCTCGTCAACACTCTCACCTGTGTTAATGAGAGAATCACTGACATGATGGCAGCTGGTCCTTTTGTGGCAGGGCTGAAATGCAGTGGAAATGTTTTTGGGGGATTAAATTCATTTACATGGCAAAGAGGGACTTTGCAATTAATTGCAATTCATCTGATCACTCTTCATGACATTCTGGAGTGTATGCAAATTGCCATCATCAAAACTGAGGCAGCAGACTTTGTGAAAATTAGTATTTGTGTCATTCTCTAAACTTTTGACCACAACTGTATTATTATGTGTTTTACTTTTCTTTTCTTTCTTTATTTTCTTTTTCTCTGCATTTCACTGTTAGCCCACACATGTTGTTTACGAAGCATGTGACAAATAAAATAGTATTTCATTTCATCTTCCCCCTGGGCTATTACCGTTGTTGAGAACAGGGTGGTGTTCATAAGACATCAAACGTAAGAAAACAGATTGAAACAGGAAGTTGAAAAAGGCTGTTTTTCCAATGTATGGAATGTCTTTACACTATTGAGCGTTAAACTCTTAATCCTATTAGCGTTAGTCTTTTCTCATGAACTGCGACGGCTTAAAATGCCTTAATCTCTCAAATTTGACATCTGACCCCCCATGTTTCTTTGTCCCCGTTAGCATTCCTACTTTACTGTGCCTGACATAAGGGAACTACCCAGCATACCTGAAAACGTGAGTATCTTTGGCCTTCACCCTTCATTTTGAATTTGCTGTTCTTTATTGTTCACTGTTTAGGAAGACATTCACAGGACACCACTAACAATATCTATTTAGGATCATTGACGCTATGCCAAAATACATCACTCAATCGCATCTGATTTGATATGAAAGAACACACTCTACCCACGTCCCCAAAGCACTCTGTCCATATAGGCCTGTGGGTTAGGGTTAGGGATACTTTAGGCCTGTGGGTTAGGCTTAGGTTTACTGTAGGCCTTTGGGTAGCATGAATAAACCGCTAGTCCCACAAACGTTAGACATTCAGTCAACCACTTCAGCTCACGGGGGGAGATATTGAAGGAGTCGGAAGAATCAATATCTTGTTTCATTTCCCCGTTTTTCCAATTCCCGCCGGTAGCCTCACGTAGTTAGTTAGCTGTTGGGGCGAATCAGACAGCCCTCGCTAGGCCCCTAAGGCTGTGAGCCCTCCCCAGATCCCCCTCTCTGGGGGGCCTTTAGACAGACAGACAGAACGCAGAAAAGGGAGAGCTTCCATGTTAGTTTGCCTCTCTCCTTTTGACATCCACGGCGTGATGGAGACATGACGGAGGTTTGAAGGGAGCCAGAAGTGCAGTGCCTTTGAACCCCAGTCATCAGGGGGAGGTGTCGGAGGAGGAGTCTGTAGTCTTCAGAAGTAATGCTTCTGGAGGTTTGGAGAATGACAGACAGACGGACAGACAGACAGATAGGCTCACACATGCACACAAACACCCCTTCTACTACAGCTTATTTCACCTAAACTGCTAAACCGCTTGTGGAATGCCTATTTCAAACATATTTTTTCAAGCATCACCAAATATATAAAGAGCATATACACTGAGTGTACAAAACATTAGGAACACCTGCTCTTTCCATGACATAGACTGACCAGGTGAATCCAGGTGAAAGCTATGATCCCTTATCGATGTCACTTGTTAAATCCACTTCAATCAGTGTGAACGAAGGGAAGGAGACAGGTTAAAGAAGGATTTTTGTATGTGTGCCATTCAGAGGTTGAATGCGCAAGACAAAATATTTAAGTGCCTTTGAATGGGGAATGGTGCCAGGCGCACCAGTTTGAGTGTGTCAAGAACTGCACAGCTGAATGGATTGTTCACGCTCAACAGTTCCTCGTAAGTATCAAGAATGGTCCACCACCCAAAGGACATCCAGCCAACTTGACACAACTGTGGGAAGCATTGGAGTCAACATGGGCCAGCATCCCTGTGGAATGCTTTCGACACCTTGTAGAGTCCATGCCCTGACGAATTGAGACTGTTCTGAGGGCGAAAGGGGTTGCAACTCAATATTAGGAAGCTGTTCCTAATGTTTTGTACACTCAGTGTATATTCAGATTCAGAAAACGTTAATGTCATCAATTAGTCCGTTTATTTTGCACCAATAGGAGTATACATACAGACGAAATCACGTGTTCTGTCTAAAGTATTGTATTTAATTGTATTACACGCTGACGATCACAGAGAGAAGTTTGATTTGAAACAGTAATGTTTCTTCCTGTTACACTCTTCACCTGTTATACCTATTCTATACCTTTGTAAAAGCTATGTAATTCATGTTGATACCTTGTACTATTCATGCACAGTCATTGGTCCACCCTTGCTATCACGACTAACCTCTACCCGGTTTAATTTTTTATATTTTCTTTTTTGCCTTTGTTTTTCTTGCAGAGAAACCTAACAGAGTATTTTGTAGCCGTAGATGTCAATAACATGCTCCATCTGTATGCTAGTATGCTTTATGAGCGTCGAGTCCTCATCTGCTGTAGCAAACTAAGCACCGTAAGTACTGTAGATCCTTCACTCCCTCCTCTTCTTCCTCCTTTCTCACTCTCTCCATGCATATCCACTAATTAATGAAAGTGTCTATTTTACAGGCTTGGTACTGTTGCAACACCACACAATAAGGCACATCATGAAATGGTTGCTCACCCAGATATAAATATTTATTTATTTTTATCCAGAATAAATATTTTAAGATGTTGTGGTTGAGAATCTGGGTGTTTCCCCCCCCTGTAACCACATAATCTTTTTAAACCCTTTACATTTTCTGTTACATTTTTCATTGTGCTCTCCACCAGTAAAAGCCATGACCCTCTTCACACCTTTATGTATAGAGAGGACGGTCTGAAGAGTTTGTGACCTGCTAAAAACATCTCCTTACACATACAGTGCCTTCAAAAAGTATTTACACCTTGACTGGATTAAATTGAGATTTTTTTGTCACTGGCCTACACACAATACCCATAATGTGAAAGTGGAAATATGTTTTTAGACATTTTTACAAATTAATTTTAAATGAAAAGCTGAAATGTTTTGAGTCAATAAGTATTCAACCCCTTTGTTATGGCAAGCCTTAATAAGTTCAGGAGTAACCATTTGCTTAACAAGTTACACAATAAGTTGCATGGACTCACTCTGTGTACAATTATAGGGTTTAACATGATTTTTGAATGACTACCTCATCTCTGTACCCCACACATACAATTATCTGTAAGGTCCCTAAGTCGAGCAGTGAATTTCAAACACAGATTCAACCACAAAGACAAGGGAGGGTTTCCAATGCCTCGCAAAGAAGGGCACCTATTGGTAGATGGGTAAAAAAAAAACATTGGATATTACACTTTGGATGGTGTATCAATACACCCAGTCACTACAAAGATACATGCATCCTTCCTAACTCAGTTGCCCGAGAGGAAGGAAACCGCTCAAGGATTTCAATGGTGGCCATGAGGCCAATGGTGACTTTAAAACAGTTACAGAGTTTAATGGCTGTGACATTAAACTCTGTGACATTAAACTCCACAATACTAACCTAATTGGCAGTGTGAAAAGAGGGAAGCCTGTACTGAATAAAAATATTCCAAAACATGCATCCTGTTTGCAACAAGGCACTAGAGTAATACTACAAAAAATGTGGCAAAGCAATTCACTTTTGTCCTGAATACAAAGTGTTATGTTTGGGGCAAATCCAATACAACACATTACTGAGTATCACTCTCCATATTTTCAAGCATAACGGTTGCTGCATCATGTTATGGGTATGCTTGTAATCGTTAAGGACTGGGGAGTTTTTCAGAATGAAAATAAATGGAATTGAGCTAAGCACAGGCAAAATCTTAAAGAAAAACCTGGTTCAGTCTGCTTTCCACCAGACACTGGGAGATTAATTCACCTTTATGCAGGACAATAACCTAAAACACAAGGCCAAATCTACACTGGAGTTTCTTACCAAGAAGACAGTGAATGTTCCAGAGAGGCCGAGTTACAGTTTTGACTAAAACCTGCTTGAAAAGCTATGGCAAGACCTGAAAATGGTTGTCTAGCAATGATCAATAACCAATTTTGACAGAGCTTGAATAATTTCTAAAAGAAAAATGGGCAAATGTGGCACAATCCAGTTGTGGAAAGCTCTTAGAGACTTACCCAGAAAGACTCACAGCTGTATTCACTGCTGAAGGTGATTCTAACATGTATTGACTCAGGGGGTTGAATACTTATCTAATGAAGATAAAAATATATTTTTTCATTTTCGTTTTTTACAAATGTTAGAATTTTTCTTCCACTTTGAGTATTTTGTGTAGATCGTTGACAAAAAAAGACAATTCAATCCATTTTACTCCCACTTTGTAACACAACAAAATGTGAAAAAAGCCAAGGGGTGTGAATATTTTTTGAATGAGCCTTCTTTTCTTGTACTGTACCATACAAAGCATGGTCTTCCATTAAGCTTTTAGTAGCAGTCCTAACACTGAGCCCTGAGGCATTCCTAAGTCTTCCATTATGTGATATGGCCGCTACACAATTAAGCCCCTCCTGCCCTCTCGGCCCCTTAAAGTTACTAATGTGTGAATGGATTTTTGATTACCGAAGCCCAGTTTAAGTGCTGTTTTTAACACATACTGTAGTTTGGAAGTTGTTCACAAGCCCAATGGGAAAATACTCTTGTCAGGTTGGATGCTTGTTTAGAAGCTACACCTGAACATGCAAGAATGGTGAGGTATAAAAATAACTTTACATTCCGTCAAAACATGGCCAGGTTCTTTGAAGAATATGGGGAGACCTCTATTCCTTTAACATGGTTATTGAGGAATAGAAATGAGGGACACATCTTCCCATATTCCCTAAATAGTGCACTATTGTTGACCAGAGCCGTGGGAGTAAAGCAGAAGGTTCCTCATATTTTTTTGGACCAAAACAGAGAAACCACACATCCTCCTTCTCCCCTATAATAAGGGATATGATTCATCCAAGGAATCCCAGTCTTCCTGTTTGACGTGAAAAATACTTTACCTGACATGGCTGTGGACGCGTGTTCCCCAGGGGGTCTTTCTCCCCACATCCCATTCTCTATGACGAGTCCCTTAGGGGGGAGGGAGAGAGAAAGGAGCACGTTTTATGATCAATCATCTGCTCTTAATATAGAAACCCACACACTTAAATAGCGTCTCAGACAAACGCTGTTATTCTGGGGAAGTTCTGTTGTTGGTTGGGCAGTGCAACATCGCTACTATTGACACATCTGCCGGCGTTCAACAGCGCCATCTGAATTTGATCAACTGCTGCGTTCTTTCGCCTGGCACTACATTCCTCCTACCTTAACACACAAAAGGAGCGGGATTTGTCACGTGAGATATTAAGCGTCAGTGATGGGAACTGTTGCTGGTCTAATTTCCGGTGGTGTAATTTGTATTATTTATGGGGTGGCTTTGATGCCATGAGTAATGGCCAATTTACTCTTGCAGTGTGTGTTGTGTGTGTGTCCACAGAACTCCAAACACTGACACAGTGCAAACTTTCTCTGCACAATAATCTGCCGATGTATTTTCTCCAATATGAAAATGCAAGGAATAGTTATATACCTAAAATATTCCATTGTGGATCTGTCAATATAATGTATACTTCTAAATGAACCTGTGAGAAATAGTTATATGCCGTTTTATGCTCTATGGT